CATTGGTGCCATACATCTTCAGGGAAGAATCTCGAGCACGCGACCTGAAGAGTCCCTCCCGCCCTCCACGCACGGTGATACGAAAGACTCTGATACCGACATGGCTACCCTTATTCCAGGTCGCATTCGCGACACGCTTGATTCCGATTCCCTTTTGGCTACGTGCTGGTGTCCCCTCGGCTCGCCCTCCTTCGAGATGTTACGTTATTCCCTGGATCCGACGTCACCATGCGACGTCACCCCTTTCTTCTCTTCTCTTTTTCCGCTTCCCTTCGATTCTTCCTCCTTTCAACCCAAGGTTGAGAAGAAGCAAGGCGGGAAGGAAAGCGGACGCGTTCTCTCCGATATTTACTTCGGTTCGATTTCTTATCGAAGGCGGTTTCACAACGAAACGACGACGGTTTTCGAGAGAGAGAACTACGACGTTGTTGCGTGAGAATGCGAGACACTGCGAACGAGGCACACGACGAGGGCGTGATTCTTCTTTTGTCTAGTATTATTATTATCCTTCCAGTGTGAGAACGGTATCGTTCCACTTTCACGTGCTTACTTTTCGAGTCTAGAGTATAGCGTTAAGTATACGCGTATACTTTCTTTCAACTTATTCTTTTCTTTTTCTTTTTCTTCAATACGAAACGACGATTCGATATTTCTCTGTCACTTCTTTCCTCTGTCTCCAAACAAACTTCTCCCTTTTTATTATATCCGATACGATTTGAACGATCTGGTTGGGAACGGATTCGAACGGACGGAACGATGATTCGATATCATTCGCAGGTACATCTTTGGCGTGTATGCATTCCTCTTGAATATATATATGTATATATATATATATATACACACATGTATATACAATAAGAAAATGCAGAGAAGAAGGAGAGGAAAGAAAAAGTGAAAAAAATCGGCGGTTTGCGTCTCTCTCCCTCTTGTTCACGAAAATATTGCAAACGAACACACACGGTGGACGAAACTCACTGTTTTTCACGTACGAACATGTGGGAACGCTTCTCCGGCTTGAATCACTGTGTTACCACACGATAACTCCCCCCTCGAAATAAAGCGAAACGAAACGGCGGCGGCGGCGACGGCGACGACGACGACGACGACGACGAGGAAGAATCGGCGGTTAGAGAGATCGGACAAAGAGGAGGAGGGATCGTCGCGTACGAAGGACGAACGAGCGCGTCCTATCGAGTCCCACTTCGGAAACGAATATCACTCGACACGACCGCGCGCAATTTCTTCTTCTTCTCCAACGTCCTTTTCCTCCTTTCTTACTTTATTATCCTCTATCGATCCTCCTTTTTTTCTTTCTTTAATTACTACTGTTATTGTCGTTACTCTCTCTCTCTCTCTCTCTCTCTGGTTTCGTCTCTCCCTCTTCCTCTCTTTCTCTCTTTTCTCCCGATCCACGGGGGTAGCTGGCGCGCCCGTGTAGCGTAAAAGCGCGGACGCAGCGCTGTACGCCAGCGTGTGGCGTCTCTCGCGAACTAAGCCGGTCGAAGGGGGGGACAGAGCGATTTCTTGGTCTTTCGCGCTGTGCGTGTGCTAAACGGGGGAAGAAAAAAGGTGGAAAGGCGCTGATAACGCGCGGCGACGAAAAATCGCCGGCTACTCGAAGAGATATCGATTGAAATAACACGATTCCGGGGAACGCGAGCCAATCGGCACCGCTGACACGGCGGAAGGGGCCAATCGTGCCCGGTTCTATCTCTCTTTCACAACCTCCCTCGCTCGCTCCCNTCTTCTCGTCATACGCGTCCTCCGCCGTCCCCCTTTCTCTCCCTCTCCTCCACTCCGGGTGTATCTGTGCGTTCATGTGTGTCTATGTGTGTCTGCGTGTGTGTTCCCTCCACTACTCCTCCTCCTCCTCCTCCTCCTCATCGTGCGGCCGTGCTCGCTACTATTGCCACCGCCGCAACATTCGTCGCTGCTTCTCTTCCTCCACCCTCGCCACCGAATAGAAGGCGAGAATAGAAAGAGAGAAGAGAAGAAACCGGTGCTCGAGCAGGGTAGGAGAGACGGAAACAAACAGCTTGCGCGTTACGCCGTTCAGGAAGTATTTCGCGATTTCGATATCGAGTCATCTCTTCGACCCGATCGCGCACACGGTTTTTTCCATTCCATGCCGCCTCCGCCGCTTCTTCTTCTCCTTCTTCTCCTTCTTCTTCTCCTTCTTCTTCTCCTTCTTCTCCTTCTTCTTCTTCTTCTTCTTCCGTCCACGCGACCATCCGACCTTTGGGGCGCACCGAGCGGGAGTCTCCGTGCCCCTCCAACGTCGGCTCCGCGCTCGCGCCATTCTAAATTATTCGACGTCGAAAAGGCGAAAATGAATCGCGGGCAACGTCGGTCGGAATTCGTTTCGGACGAATTGTCGGAGAGTTCGATTCGGTCGGGATGGTCAACTTCCCCTTCGGTCGATTTCCTTCGTCATCCATGTTCGTCGTCGTCGACGTCGGTTTCGAATGTTTCCCTCCTCGAGGGATTAATTTGGAACGAAATATAATTCGACATACGTTGTTTCTTCTATTTATCCTCGATTGTTTCGATTGATTCTCCCCCGTCCTCCTCGCGCGTTCGACCCTTGTGCAACGTTTCGTGTGGGCGGATAAGGAGGATTTCGATTAGGTTGCGGGATCTAGGAAAATATGCAAGGAGGGAAAAGGAAAAGAAAAGAAGAGGGAGAAGAAAGAAAGAAAGAAAGAAAGAAAGAAAGGAAGGAAGAAGAAGAAGAAAAGAAAAGAAAAAGTGGCGCGAAACGATTCGATTCGGTGCTCCTTGGAACTCCTCGTCCCTCGGTTCGCCATCTTTCTCCCGTTGCTCGTTGAAATTATTTTGGGCGTGGAGCGCGGCGAAGGTTAGTGCCATAGTTAAGCGCGCTAAAAGTGTGTCCGGCTAGAGGCAGGGAGGAAAAAATAGGGCGGGGTCTCTTTGTGAGCAGACTTTGCCTATCCATCATGGCCGCTTTATCAATGACGTCATGATAAGAACATTCACGCACAGGCAAACGCATATCGTTCGTGAGACTCGAACGGGAACGGAAGATCGAACCGGACGATTTCCTCGCTTTTTATCTCTTTCGTTAACTCTCCTCGCCATCATCTCCGCGTCACGAAACGAAAAAGAAAAGAAAAAAAAAAAAAAGAAGAAGAAAAAGAAAAGAAAAATAAATAAAGCTTGATTTCCATCGCTCGAGATAGATCGATAGCTCGAGTATCGCGATAAAAAACTTCTCGATCGTACGAATTAATCGAGTACGTTCGAGATAAGCGAACGAACGAACGGTGAGGTCTTCCGTTCGTATTTCGATATTCGAGCTTCGAATTTCGCGCGAAAGCTAGGGGGAAGGGACGCGACGAATAATAGAGAATAAAATTTTTCCGGTTGATCCGATTGGAAAAGGAGCGGCGGTGTTGCATCCGAGCCGTTACGGAGAAAGTGTATATCGGGCGATATCGAGCAATGCAGGACAATCGAGATACCGCATTCAAAGTCCATCGGCACCGTTGACCGAAGTATTAAAGGTCGGGCAAAAATAACGCGAACCTTGGTTTCGCTTTGTCTTTTATCTCTCTCACCCCCCTCCCCTCCCCATAATTGTTTCACAAACTTTTCCAAGATCTTCAAATGATCGATAATATCGTCCAGGATTGGTCGAGGAAATGATTCTATATAACGGTTTCCTAAATTCGGCACGAGCGAAAGGGAGGAGGAGGGGGAGGGAGTGGGAAAGCTTCGACGCGAGGCGAATCTCGACGATCGAGAGAGAGAGAGAGAGAGAGAGAGAAATAAGATTTCCGCGCAACACGTCAGTTTTAAATAGTCGTGACTATTCTTTCGTGACAGCTACTTGTTTATCCTTCTTTGCATTTTTACGATTTAAAGGAGGGAGGAGGGGG